ACTAATTACAGTCTACAGGCCACCAGGGCCGAATTCTCAGTTCTTACAGGAATTCTCTGAGTTTTTATCAAGTCTAATAACGCTTTCAAATAAAATAATAGTTGCTGGAGATTTTAATATCCATTTAGACAATCCCCAAGATGCACTAAGCAAGGCATTTATATCTATCATAGACTCCATAGGTTTCACCCAAATCATAAAGGGGCCCACACACTACCACAACCACACTCTAGACTTAATACTGACCTTTGGTGTAAACATAGATAACTTAGCCATTCTCCCCCAGAGCACAGCAGTCTCTGACCATTACTTAATCTCTTACGAAATTCACTTTAGTGGTAATGTGCGTTCATCACCATGTTATTGTGTCAAGCGGACGATAACTCCCTCCACAGCTGGTGGCTTTATTAGAAACCTTCCTAAATTATCAGCTTCTGTCAGCTGTCCATCTGATCCTACTGAGTTAGATACTATGACCAAGCTCTTAGAGGATCATTTTCGATCTACTCTAGAAAATGTGGCCCCATTAAAAAGTAAAATAGTAAGGCAGAAAAAACTCGCCCCCTGGTATAATGACCACACTCGGGCTTTAAAACAGAACGCCAGACAACTTGAGCGTAAATGGCGCCTCACTAAGCTAGAAGTGTTCCAGTCCTGGAAGGAGAGCCTTATAGCCTATAGAAGAGCACTTACTGCAGCACACTCAGCTTATCTCTCCTCTCTCATAGAAAACAATAAGAATAATCCTAGATTACTTTTCAGCACAATCTCTAAACTAACAGAGAACAAAACAGTTAGTGGACCCCAGATTCCATCAGCCGATAGCAGCAACGATTTTATGAACCTCTTTAGTAATAAAATTGAAAAAATTAGGCAGAAAATTCTGAATATACAATTAAACTCTACAAACCTGCTTCCCCACAATGCCAGCATCAACCTTGAGAATACTATGATCCCTGCAGAGAGGCTGGAATTGTTTACCTTACTCCAAGAAAATGAACTAGTTAAAATAGTTTCTTCCGCAAAATCATCTACTTGTATGTTAGATCTGATTCCTACAGGTTTACTCAAGGAAATTTTGCCAGAAATAACCAAGCCTATTCTGTCAATACTAAACTCCTCTCTTAGCCTTGGATACATCCCAAAATCTCTTAAACTAGCAGTAATTAGACTCTGATTAAGAAAGCGAACCTCGATCCATGCGAACTGTCAAATTATAGACCCATCTCGAATCTCCCCTTTATATCAAAGATCTTGGAAAAAGTTGTAGCAAAACAATTAAGCTCCTATTTGCATAGAAATCAAATACACGAAAAATTTCAGTCTGGTTTTAGGCCACATCATAGTACAGAAACAGCACTAGTGAAAATTGTAAATGATCTATTATTATTTTCTGACCAAGATCATGTGTCCTTGTTAGTCCTCCTCGATCTTAGTGCAGCATTTGACACAATAGACCACACTATCTTACTAGACAGACTAGAAAACCTTGTAGGGGTAACAGGAACAGCTCTTTCCTGGTTCCGGTCCTACCTCACTGATCGGTATCAGTTTGTTAATATAAACGGTGAATCATCTGTTCTCACAAAAGTAAAGTATGGTGTTCCACAAGGCTCTGTTTTAGGACCTGTATTATTCACATTATATATGCTACCACTGGGCACCATTATCAGTAAACACAGCATACATTTCCACTGCTATGCCGATGACACTCAGTTATATTTAGCAAGTGACTCAGATGATAGAATTAAACTTAGCAAGATTGAAGACTGTATACAAGACATAAAGGACTGGATGTGGAGTAACTTTCTCCTTCTAAACTCAGATAAAACAGAGGTTCTGCTTCTTGGTCCAAAAGCAGCCAGAAACAAACTGTTTAATTTAACACTTAAACTTAACAATTTCTCAGTTGCTCATCTGTAAAAAGCCTTGGTGTCATTATAGACCCTGATCTGTCCTTCGACACACATATAACTAATATTACTAGAACAGCCTTCCTGCATCTCCGCAATATTGCTAAATTGAGAAATGCATTCTCTCTACAGGATGCAGAAAAGTTAGTTCATGCATTTATTACCTCAAGGCTAGATTACTGTAATGCCCTGCTGGCTGGATGTCCCAGCAAAAGCCTTAACAAGCTTCAGCTGGTCCAGAACGCTGCAGCCAGAGTTCCTACTAGAACCAGAAAGTTTGACCATATCAGCCCAGTTTTATCAACCTTACACTGGTTACCAGTTAAATTTCACACTGATTATAAAATTCTCTTACTGACATATAAAGCTCTAAACGGACTCGCCCCTCAGTACCTGAGTGAACTTCTCTCTCACTATGAACCATCACGCCTACTTAGATCACAAGGTGCTGCTCACTATTAGTACCCAGAATTAATAAAGTTACGTCAGGGGGGAGAGCTTTCTCATACAAAGCCCCCCAGCTTTGGAATAGTCTTCCTGTTAATGTTCGGGACTCAGACACAGCCTCAGTGTTTAAGTCTAGGCTAAAAACTTACTTGTATAGTCGAGCCTTTGGTAGTTTTGATTAGTTTTAGTTTGATTAGTTTTCCCTGTCAGTTCTATACCAGCCAGAGTCTCTGCTGCTCTGCTAACACTGTAATCTGTGATCAGTCACCCATTACAGAACTGACACCCATTACAGAACTGACTCTCTGTGTGTTTTCCTCTCTTGTGTGTTTTCCTTTCTTTTCTTCGCCGAGTTGAACAGCTGTCCATCCTGTGCGTCTGATGCTGCTGCCTTTTCTGCCTCGATCAGGTGCCACTGCTCGCCAGCCCTCTGGACCGGCTTACCAACATTGAGCCTCCTGCTGTACAACGCCGTACAAACCTCACCCTCACAACCTGACCCCACTGATACTACTGCTGTTGCTACATGAACTATTCAAAATTATTCACCTGAACCAATCAATCATTCAAACTAATTCAAATTAATCAATCACCCATTGACTGTGTTTTTCCTCTCTTTCTTTTGCCGAGTTGAACAGCTGCCCATCCTGATGCTGATGCTGCTGCCTCTTCTGCCGTGATCGGGTGCCACTGCTCGTCGTGCAAACCTCACCCCCACAACCTGACCCCACTGATGCTGCTGCTGCTGCATGAACTAAACTATTCAAATTACTGGCCACTGGCGACGCTCATGGGGGCTCGGACCCGGATTTCTTTCTGTAATGCTGATTTCCTTGTAAAGCTGCTTTGTGACAACACCTGTTGTAAAAAGCGCCATATAAATAAACTTTACTTACTTACTTACTTACTATTAGCCTCATTCCCCATGGTAACTACTGTATGATTTCCTGACATGGTTTAAGTTACATAGTTAGTACCCAATTTTATCAGTCGATCATAGTGTATTACAGTACAGCAGTTACCATGGTCAAAATACAGTAAACTGGAACTGACGCTCTTTTTATTTCATAGACAAAAACATTGGATATTTTATTGATATATGCTGAGCTGGAAATGTTCCCGGTTTTCATTTCAGAAATCTGGTCTGTCTAAATCATCACAAACTCGTCTTAAACCAGGTGATCTTAGACTTGACTATGTGGTTTCTGATATTGTCACATACCGTTATCTATAGTGAAGAAAAGCAGTCAGAGCGCCCCCTGCTGTTTGCATTCAAAACATATGTTAACAGCACTGTAGATGATGTAATGAGCATCATCTACAGTGAAACGGAGATGATGCTCATTACAGGTTGTACAACATAATGTGCCATGTCACTACCATAATATATTTGATGCTATGTCAGTGATCCAGAACTTACAGTAAGACAGATATATCGTTTTTATAAGTGTTTCCCCAAAATAAATTACGACGTCACTATTACAGTATTACATATCCCATGAAGTGGTGTCGGCACCAAGCTATGCCAAAAATTTTCCTGGAGATTCATTATTTTGAAAGCAACCAGCAGATGGCGAAATTCTGCTCTTTCCCATTAATATATACATTAGCACTGCTCAAAATAGTAGGAACCATTCAGAAGCCTGAATTTTATCCATCCATGTTTATAGATAGCAGTATGTCATTCAATGTCAGAAACTACATAAGCAAGTTTATTTGAAATTACTTAACTCCACATTATTTGAGGCATGCACTTAGCACCATGCTAATTAGTGGGGTATAAAATTCCATTGGTTGTAAGGTACTTTAGCCTCCTCGTAGCAAGCTTCAGACATCAAATATGTCTTGGCTGACTGACTACGTTTGTTGGAAGAGTGTGAACTGCATACAGTTCTGAAATTAACCTGCACATCTGTGAAAGCTTCATTAACACTGAACACATTTTGGAGCGACATATGTTGCCGTCTTTTTCAGAGACGTCCATGATTATTTCAACACGTCACACCAAGAAACATTCTGCATGTGTTGCAGCAGCATGGCTGTGTAATCAGAGAGTGTGGGTGCTAGACTGACCTGTCTGCAGTCCAGAACTGTTTTACATTGAAAAGGTGTGTTTTATTAAGCTCAAATGACCACAAAGGCCCAGTTGCACAGCTGAAGACCTGTATAATGGCATTGCTCTCAAAACTGGATCAATTAGTGTCTTCATCCCCCAAACGATTATTGTGTTGTTAAAAAAGGTAAAAGACTGTGGTACTAGAGGCGAAACATGTATCATAGTGGTTCTGTACTTTTTTCAATGTAATGCAGGTTAAAGAATTAATTAGAATTAATTACTGCTTTTTATTTTTTTCGGTTTTATTAGCATTTACTTTACTGTGCCAACTTTTTTGGAATTGCAGTTTGTAAAAGGAGAAGAAAATCTAGTGCAGAGCAGAATGTGTAAACAATTGCATTTCCGATATCTCCACCTATTTTCTGTGCAATTCTGTCTCAAATGCATGTTTGAAGTATAGAAGCACATTTTGTGTTATTTTCCATAAACTACATATTTAGACTTGTGTGCCTGTTTGATACAGAATATGAGTGTAGAATGTGTCCCATTTGTTCTAAGTGTTTAAAAAAAGCCAAATTACAAAATAAGAGTGCAAATATTTTTATTTTTTTACTATAATTTCATTACAATTTCATTCATATAGGAAACAATGCAAAGTACAGCAAATATAGTACTTCAAATCAATACATTCTTAAGTGAGGTTTTTTATATAAATAGTATAAAATATCATCACAATTATAGATTTGTCTTTGTAAAATCAGAACCATTTCAGATTATGAAATATATACAGGTCCAAACCAAATGTACAGATTAAAACGTCCTGAAAGAGAATCCAGGACTGAAAGCGTCGTCTTCAAACGCTCCATTAAAGATTCAGCGGTAATGTTATGAAAGTGCCAGCAACACATTAAGAGCGGGAAGGTACAGAGCTACAGGAGGGAGTAATTCTAACGCTTTACTCCGCCCGCTGAAAGTGTCGAGAGAGAATCACAGTGGAGAGAGAGCCCCGAGGGAGGTGGGCACTAGTTGGTCTTTTTGGAGTTCTCAGACTCGCTGTGGTCCAGCGTCTCTTCGGTTTGGGACGAACCATTGGGGACACTCGATGCATCTTTGCTGTCTGGGCGGGCAGGACAGGAAGGGGTCTGGGTCGGAGTGTGGCTCTGACTGGTCAGGGGAGAGTAGGTCAGGGGTCGAGCGAACAAGGTCTGGTAGAGGGCCGCTTCCACCGGGGCGAAGGGGGACGAAGAGGAACCCATCAGCATCATCCGCGTCTGGAGGAGAGAAAAGGGGGGAAAGAGAAAGGGAAAGAGAGAGAGAGAGAGAGACTTACTAAACATAGACATTAACATACAATTAATGCCAATAAAGCCATTTGAATTTTAATTACACAAATAGAGAGAGAGAGAGAGAGAAAGAGAGAGAGAGAAAGAAAGAAAAGAACAAAGAATGAGACGGTAAATAGAGAAACTGTAGAGACTGTAGAGACTGCAGAGAGAGAAGTAGAGAGACTGCAGAGAGTGAGGGGAGAGAGACTGTAAAGAAAGACTGCAGAGAAAGAAGTAGAGAGACTGCAGAAAGCAAGAGGAAAGAAACTTTAGAGACTGCAGAGAGAGAGAGAAATAGAAAGTTTGCAGAGAGAGGGGGGAGAGACTGTAGAGAGAGGCTAAAGAGAGGGAGAGAGACTGTAGGAAGAGGAAGAGGAGAGACTGGGAGAGGAAGAGAGAGTAAAGAAAGAGAGGGAGAGAAAAAAGAGAGAAAAAAGAGAGAAGAAGAGAGGTTAGAGAGAGAAATTAGAGAAAAAGGAGAATGAGAAGAGACAAAAGAGGGGAGAAAGAAAAAGAGGGAGATCGAGACTGTAGAGAGACACAGTAGAGAAAGAGAGAGACTGTAGAGAGAGACGAGAGTATAAGAGGGAAAGAGAAAGAAGATGATAAACTGGAAGAGCAAGAGAGAGAGACAAAAGAGCGAGAGAGAGAAAGAGAGAAAGCGGAGAAAAAGATATTATACAGAGACTGTAGAGAGGGAGATGAGGAGAGACGAAAACAGACCTTAGCAAATAGATAAACCTGCAAGATAGAAAAGGAGAAAAAAAATAGAGAAATAGAGTGATAGAGAAGGAGCGCGGGAAGGAGAAAACGTGAGCGACAGAGAGAACAGAGAGCAAACAGCAAAAGGAGAAAAAAATCCAAAGCGACTAATATTGTAGTGTGTAAATTAATATTGATTATACATATCTACTGCAGTGTAGTGACATCAATAAACACTTTAATACAACAGTGAATATTAAAATTAGTAATAATGAGAGAAGTAAAAATGAGGAAGAAATGCCTTAAAGAAAGAGAAAATTCTTCGGAATGTGTGAATAAAGGACAGTGCAGTCTCTCCCATATGGAAAAAAATGTGATATTTTTATATTTCTTTATATTTCAAACACACTGCAGTCGATGCTGAAATACTTTCCAAATACTAAATTGTATTTCAGAATATGTTACCATGTTTGCCAAATAAATTTTAAAAAACATTTATTGTGAAATGTAACACGGAAATTTTACACACAGACAAAAATAAATGTATATAAATGTGTTTATGAAATCCATCTGAAAACGTATGAAAATATCCAGAATCCTGTCTGATGCTCTTCACTGTCTGATACCTTTAGAAATGAGTTTGTGTTCCAGTATCTTCATTTTAAATCTGATCTAATGATCCTTTATCAGGACAGAAGCGAGTGTTGTGGGTATTGATGCTCTGTGAAAATGCAGTTATGATCTGATATCTTGTTTATGTGAAGTACATTGTGTGTGAGAGTCTGACTGCAGACGTACATGGTTAATGTAAAGTACAGTGCAGATCACAGTCAGTACGTTTAGTTACATCTGGAACCTTCATTACACTCAACTGAACACAGATAATAACTAACACTGATGAATGCATTTTAAAAATGTATTTAACAAATACATTTTTTGGAATCTATTTGTTTTCCATATGGGCTGAGAGGTTGGAATAGATGGCTTTTAGCTCTTTCTTCACTTTTAAACACTGTAAACATCACACATTTCTCCAGCCTGCAGCTCCAAAGCTCAAATCATTTTAAGTCAGTAAAAAAGTGTAAATGTGGGTTTGAAAAAAAACATCTTAACTATGCGGAGAGGGAGAAGGGAGGTCAAAGTACACCAGCTCGTTTCTCAGGTAACGGAGAGACAGTGCTCTAAAAATAGAGATAAGGCAGCCAGAGATGAGGTAATGCCTTGTTAAGAGCAGGAGACTTTGCTCGGTTTAAGAAGAGTGATGCAATTAGACGAAAATGATGCAAAAGACGAGTGAAAGCAGTAACAGCGAGGACGGGTGACTCATAGCGATGGCACGAGCACATCAGCGAGATCACACGTAGCAGAGAAGATCAGACAGGATGAAGCGGAATGAAATATAAGGCAGCGGTTCGGTACCGCTCCGATAACGGCAATAACACCGTCCGCTCTGAACTGACGTGAAATAATCATTAGAAGACGGATAGTTCTGGTCCTACAATCTGATTGGCTGAGCTTTGAGCTGGAAGCCATTGTAAATTACACGATGCGTCACTGCGCCACCTCACGAAACATCCTTGTGCTGTTAATGGAATAATCTTTGACTCTAATGCTGCTCACATGGACCATCAAGTGCACTGATAAAGGTACATACACACACCGAGTAGCAACTTCATTAAGTCCACTTCCTTCATTAAGCTCCACTGACCATATAGTTTGACTCTGTAGTTCTACAGCTACAGACTGTAGTCCATCTGTTTCTCTGATACTTTGTTACTCTGTTCTTCAGTGGTCAGGACCCCCACAGAGCAGGGACTATTTGGGTGGTGGGTCATTCTCAGCAGTGACACTGGCGTGGTGGTGGTGTGTTAGTGTGTGTTGCACTGCTCTGAGTGGATCAGACACAGCAGTGCTGCTGGAGTTTTTAAACACTGTGTCCACTCTCTGTCCACTCTATTAGACACTCCTACCTTGTCAGTCCACCTTGTAGATGTAAAGTCAGAGACGATAGCTCATCTGCTGCTGCACAGATTGTGTTGGTCATCCTCTAGTCCTTCATCAGTGGTCACAGGACGCTGCCCACAGGACGCTGTTGGCTGGATATTTTTGGTTGGTGGACTATTCTCAGTCCAGCAGTGACACTGAGGTGTTTAAAAACTCCAGCAGCACTGCTGTGTCTGATCCACTCAGACCAGCTCTGTGGGGGTCCATGGGGGTCCTGACCACTGAAGAACAGGGTAACAAAGTATGCAGAGAACCAGATGGACTACAGTCTGTAACTGTAGAGCTTCAGAGTGAAACTATACGGTCAGTGGAGCTGATAAAGTGGACAATGAGTGTAGAAAAAAGGAGGTGGACTTAACAAGGGAGCTAGTTGATGTGTATATACACACACACCTTTTTTAGCTGTTTTTAGCTAAGCTATTGTACTTTTGTTCATTTTTTCATTTGGTCATTCAGTTAGCAACATGCTAATTTGGTGAAGTACAAGCTTTACATGTTAGCTATGTTAGCCTCACAGCTCCAGTGTTAAACTGAAGAAGCAAACTTCAGACACCAAACATGTCTTGGCTGACAGTTGGGGTTCAAACTGGGTACATTTTCTCCAAACTATTCTTTGATTATCACATAAATACGTACTGTAACGAGAAGTGTTCATGGAATCAATACAGACCTTGTTGACAACGATGAAGATGGTGTAGAGGAGCATGAGTTCAGGCGTCTGCAGGGGGAGGTAGTGACACTGCTGCAGGGAGAACAGCACCGCCCCAATCAGAGTCACCTTCGTTGGGCTGCCGGCACACGAGAATCAAAGGTGAGGTAAGTTCTAATGTTCTGTAAAAGTCATAATTCATTTGTACATGACTATTTTTTAACCTCTGTTTATAGTTATGTCGTTTTAGTTACTGTGCCTAAACAGGACTGATTTATGAAAATGAGAGAGGGGAACTGTCAGGGGCTTCCAGGCTTAATTATTTCTGTGAAATAAAAAATGCGCATATCTGTAATTCTGTAATTTTATGTTCAGTTTTATTGAATAGAATTATCCTGTTTGTTGTATTTAAACTGCAGTATTACTCTTATTTTATATTGTTAACAACAGAATATTTTTCATCAGGATTTTTTCTCCATGGTATCTAAAACACACATTTACTTCAAAACAATGGGATCTAACTGCTCACCATGTGGCCATGAGGGACAGGGATGCAGCCTCACTTCCTGCTCTAAAATGCAGGGGCGTGGCTAAAATAAGGCTCCGCCTACAGACTAAAACTCTGTGTTTTGGTAGTGACATGAAAATGTGGGCCAGCATTTTTTTAAATAAAGTTTTTTATTAAAAATTAAACTCATGACAAATCTAAATATTTCAAATTCACTTTAAAAATACAGAAAGGTAAGTATTACTTTCAGAAGTGTAAATTTAGGGGTTAGGGTTTGGGATAGACTCCTCCCAATAGAAAGTACCCTATAAATGATGATTTTGTATATATTTAGCTTATTATTATCTGTTTTAATGTCTTGGGTTTAATATCTAAGATCTGAATACTTCTTTGTTTTCTAAGTACTTTTTTTATAGTGGGAGCAGAGTTTGAAGGAATTCAGTAGAATGGTGTAAAATGATCCATGACCAGCTACTCAAACTGTAGCCTTAAAATGCCAAAGCCTCTAAACTATCACGCTGGACAAAGCGCGCTGGTTTGAGTGGGGTACTTTTGGTGAAGTTACCAGTCTTTAGATGTTGTATTTTCAGCAGAGCTTGCAAGTAGGAGAATTCATATTTTCCACTCTTTAACAACCTCATACTAATTCAGAGGATGCAGTGATATTCTGGGGGAAAATGTGGCCAAACATACCAGCTTTGGAACATTTTATTTTAGCACAGATTTTCAAAAACATCATTTATTATGCCATTAAGTAAAATCTGTTTAGACTCAGAGTTCCTAATATAAGGATGATGCCAATTACAGAACAACAAAACCAATTCAGAGGTGTACTGCAAAACAAACAAGTAAACATCAGACACCAGTCGGCTTTGGCGGTATAACACAAATCCTGTTATTTGAAAATTATGACCATATGTAACGTCCTGCTCCTGCTATGCCACCTCCAGCCTCTAGGGGGAGAAAGAGAACTAAACCAGCCTAATTAGGGCTGAGTGGTGTCAGCTGTTGAGCTCCCTATTTAAGGAGAGCTCACACACAGCTCTCTGCTCAGTCTTGAGTTCATGCCGCCATGTGCATGGCTCTCTGACTGAGCTGGTACTAGTGTTTGGTTCTTTTTTTGAGTCTTGGGCTTTATGATGCTCAGTGTTTAGTGAGTAAATACTTCAGGATAACTATTAAAACAAAACAAAAAACCCTTTTTGAGTCCCAGCCTTCTTAAAGAAAAACGAGGCAAACTAACTAAATGAAATAAAGAGAGAGGTGTTAATTTTTGCCTTCATTTTGAGACATTTAGAGTTTGGGTTTTCCATCTTTTGTTAACCCCTGAAATCAGTGTTGCTGTTCTCCCCTTCAATGGTGCACTGCTTAGCTCTAGAGTCAGAGGTTCAATTCCGGCATTCTTAAGTTTTCCATTTTCCTCTCTAGTTAGCTGTTGTCCTGAGCCTTCCCATCTCCCCAAGAACTTACTGTTGTTTTTTTTTTTTGCATTTACGTTCCCTTCCGAGTCTCTACTGCTCTGCGCTTGAGCTCTCCCTCTAGTGCTTAGCTGCTGGCTTATCTCATACCATTTTAGTTAAGAAGGGGACCACCACTTCGATCCCACCCGGCGTAAGCTAGCTGTTGCATTATTGTTTCAAATTTTGCAACTATGACAAGTTTCTGTTCCATCTATTTAATAACCTGCCAAAAAAATCAATTCTGAGTCTGACCGATTTACATAAACAAGTACACAATGTTAGACAATCAATCGTACAAGGATTTCTTAATGTCAAACTGTCATATGCTAGGAGTGCTGTTAGCACTAGCAGCTAGCAGGCTAACAGCTCCACACACAACAGAAGAGTCCGATTCCTTCTAAATGATAAATTCCTTCACTGAGTTTTTGAGAGAGAAAATGAAGTGACTAGTGTTGCAGAGATAGACGGAATCTGACCTGCTTTGTGGTGTGTGGAGCACTTAGCATGCTAGCTAAGCTAGTGCTAGCACTACACCTAGCTTTCTCTATACTATCCTTTTAGTACTGTTTCACTTTTAAGAACTGCTGTTATTTGACTGATTTGCTTACGTTTACTGAGTGACAAATATTGGTCAATAAAGTGAAAATAAGAGCCAATGTTTGATTTGCTTTGCTCCGTCTCATCTGCTAATGCTGGCGTGCTTCAGGTAAAGCTCTGTTTACACTTAGCATGCCATGGCCACCCTGATTACCTGACTGACAAATGGAACACTGAAAATAAAACTGCAGGATAAAAATCCCTTTTCTGTTGTTCTTTGTTTGTCTGTTTTTTGACAATTTTGTTTTGTCTTAAACAATTTTGTGAAACGAAAAACTGAATAAACTTTGGGAGGAAGAGCAAATGTTCTATTTGATTATCTGCCATAGGCCTAACTTATTTGCACCCTTTAAAAACTAAAAATTACAAGCAATACTACAAACTGGTTTTACTCAGCTCAAAATGAATTTGATTAGATACACAAAGCAATATTATTTACGCATACCTTCTGCAATGCATTTTCTCCAAATTATACTTAATACTGTAGCATGTCTGAAAATGTTTCTGCATGTTTATTCTGGGTACTGTTCTCCTGCAGTTATTCTCTGGGTTTATTTTGACAAAGCTTAATGTGAAGGTGGGGCTAGTTCGCCTTCAGGAGGATGTGTCAGAGCAGACTGGAACTGGGGGACAGTCGGAGCTAGAAGCAAGAGATTGAAGATGTTAGATATGTGTAGACCGAGCTGTTATCTAAAAGCCTTGCTTATTGTGTGGTGTGGCTGTGGCCGACTACAGCCTCTTAATAAAGCATCAGCTGTGCCTCCTTTAATAGTTCAGTAGCAGTAAATGCTAGAATACTCACAATTCCTAACGAGTCTGACTGGAGTCTCTGAGACATAAGTCTGAACTGAGTCGCAAGTCTCTGAGATGTAAGTACGCGTTGTCTTGTGTCTCCAAAGTTCGAGTCAGAGTCTCAAATCTCTGAGTTGTGAGTCTAAATCGAGTTTCAAGGTGCAGGTCCTAGTTGAATCTCAAATCTCCGAGCCCAAGTCACAACTCTCTGAGATGCGAGTCTGGGTCAAGTCTCAAAGTGTGAGCCTGAGTCGAGTTTCAGGTCTCTAAGGTTTTAGTCGCAGTTGAGCTTAGAGTCTCTAAGGTGCGAGTCAGAGTTCAATCTCAAGGTGTGAATCTGAGTCTCAAATCTGCGATGCCGAGTCCATATCGAGTTTCGAGGTGCAAGTCCAAGTTTAGTCTTGAGGTTCTGATTCCGAGTCAAAATTCTGAGATACAAGTCAAGTCTCAAGGTGCGAGTCTTAGTTGAGTCTCTAAGGTGTGACTGCGAGTTTCAGGTCTCTGAGGTGTCAGTCCAAGTTGAGCCTGGAGTCTCTGAGATGCAAGTCCATGTTAGATCTCGAGTTTCTGAGGTGTGAGTCTAAGTCGAGTAAAACAAACATATCATGTTATCCAAACTTTCGCAGGTGTTATGTTCTCTTTTGGATATATAATAAAACGTACTCTTTGCCAGTTCCTGTAAATAACACATTGAACCTGACACCACTGCGACCTGTAAGAGAATAGCATGATGACTGCAATGCGGATGGACAGAGATGAAAACATTAGGCCAGAAACAAAAGGTTCTGCTTCCAGCATCAAGTTTTGTGCATGTTTTCTTTCTGGCAAATGTTCTTTAGTGCTGGAGTCCATCTGTGAGTCTCTGAAAGGAAGACATAAAGGTCACTTTAATATAGTGTTGAAGCAAAACATTTTAATACTAGAAGATAAGCGCATAGATCTGGGACTAATTCTCAACCTTTGCATACAAACAACTTTTATATGGACCAGAAAGAGCTGATCTGAGGTCAGTGCGCTTTATTTTAGTTAAACAGCGTCTGTGCAGGACGGGGCAGTGCCGTCGCTGCTGCATTCCTTCGCGTTTGCTTTTCTAAATGCCGTCCACGCACAAAACCATGACAACAGGCGTCATCAGCAGCGGCGAGGAGACGGAGACAAAAATCAATACAAAAAGCAATTATTGTACCTGCAAAAGAGAGCCGTTCAGTAACTATTATACTGAAACAGAGTGAGAACAGCGAGAAAAAGGGACGTAGTGGGCAAGTTATCAAAAGCTGCAGGCCGCTTCCTCTGTGTGAACGACCCAGCATGGAAAAACAAGCTGCGCTGATGCACGGACCAGCCTTTTAGTTATGTCTTTATCCATGAAAATGGAGCTAAACGAGTTCTCCACTGCTCGATCGGGGAGGTCTGAGACGTATTTAGTGCTGAAAAATGAACTGTCGTGGTCGTCCAGCAAACAGATGCACTTCTGGCGCTGTGCCCTGAAGATAGTCCATTAGCTCAGATTTAAAAGTTTGAACCTTTTGCCTTCGTTTGAACTTTTACAGTGTTTGAATTTTAACTGCTACTTTTCAATCAAGTACACTCTTAAAGATGGTTCTCCTAAGGGGGGGTCTTTGGCAAAGACAGTGGTGCTACGTAGAACCATATACAACACATTCCCCATCAATCTGAAGAACAATTTTACCATGCAGAGAACAACTTAAGCATGTAAAAAGGTTCTGAGTGTTCATGGTTCTATATTGAACCTTTGTCTTCACCAGAGAACACATCAAGAACCTTAGCGATCATTAAGAAGCTGTGTGCTAATGCTTTGGTTACAGTAATCTTTAACACTTCAAGAGTTTCATGTCCATCAAAGTGTGTTTCTTAGTATGAAGAGCAGATTTTGCCAGAATAACAATTAACTATTAAGTATTTAAGTGATAACTATTGTTAAATAGGCCTGGGTGATAGGGCTGAAGCTTCCTGTCTTGCCCTGTCCTGGTCTTTCTGTTTTAGCCTTTGTTCTATGTGCTTTTGTCATTGTCTTCTTGTTATCTGTCTCACCTGTCTGTTTTCTGTAGCCCCGCCCTCATATTAGTCCCAGGTGTTTCTGGTCTGTTCTGTGTGTTTTTATGCCCCTGCTTGTGTGCTTGGTGTTTTGTTCTCTCGAGCCCGTTTGGTTAACTCTTGTCTGTTTTCTAGTTGCTTCACGTCCCACTGTCTTTGGTTTTCTTTCTGTTTCAGTATGTTGTTCAGTGTTTTTTTTTCTGTGTTTGTTTTGTCACCTTGTGTGGATAACTTTTTGTCATGGATCTTTAATAAAACCAAGGACTCGCACCTGCATCCTGCCTCTTCATCTCCCCCAACGTTACAATATTGTACTCATATCAGCAATGATGGACAAGTAACCCAATGCCGATTGATTTCCTGTTAAATAGCTTGTAAATATCTTAAAAATTGAGGGACTTTTAAGGGGTAGGATTTTTGGCAGCTGTTCTAAACAGTTATTGCAAACTAACAAATGGTTTAGAATGGTTTAAATCATATTTAGGTAATGGACAGCTCATGGTTTCAATTGGAAATCATTCATCAAAAAGATCTGGCATTTCTGGTGGAGTCCCTCATGGTTCAGTCTTAGGGCCTTTTGTTTTTCTCTTTGTACATGCTACCTCTAGGTGATGTCATTAGGAAACGTACATTTTCATAGCTATGCTGACGACACCCGGTTATACATTTGCATTCCTTCTGATGATCAAGAATCTGTAGACTAACCAGCTGTGTGTCAGATATTTCTCAGCGGATGTCGCAATTTTTTTTTACATTTTTTGGTGAGCAGTTTCATGTCTCAGACTTCCAGAGCAAAAAAAAATTGCGAGTGAAGCTTCCTGTCACCCCATTTCAGCTCTGGTGTACTCAGACATATAAACTTGCATCATAGACCAATAATACTACGACTTTGGCTGCACCAACCTCTGAAGGGGTGGGCCTTTGTATAGCAGCACTGAAACAAAATGAAAGAAATGCTAAATTTAGCAGTACATTTTTACCATTTATTCCTCACTACCTGTAAATAAACACACAAAAGTGAGACTTTAATAGTCAGTCACTCGGGTGGTTTTAGGTGGTGTATCTTTACTTTTGTTGTTTTTACTGTTTATAGTAGGCGAGTGGGCCAGCTTGCTAACTGCTAGGTTAGCTCCTTGGCTAAGTGCAGCTGAACACACCAGTCACCCCACTGCCACCAGCCATGCCAGATATCTACACTTTTCATGCTTAAATTTGTGAGCACACAATTATCCAGTATAATTGTTTATTTTTGCGTTTTTACTTTTTATGGTTTGCAAGTTAGCTAGCTAGCTAACTGCACCAAAATGGATGTTTTTGCTGTCAGTATTGCAGTCCAGCCTCAGTTGCTCCCATTTTGGCTCTAGACAAAGGAAAACTAATCTCCACAGAGCTGTGGCCTGGAAGGAACCAAGCCTGACATGGTTTAGAGCAGAAGTGTCCAATCTTGGTCCTGAGGTCTACCACCCTGGAGAGTTCAAATCCGACACACCTGCCTCTAATATTCAGCTGCCTTCGAAGGCCTTCATTACCTGGATCAGGTGCATCTGACTTAGGTTCGGAGCTTGGTAGATATCAGGCCCTGGATTGGCCACCCCTGGTTTGTTCTCAGGGTTTAAATCTCAATGAACTCACTATGACATCTTCAGCAGCTCGTTGGTCTCTGGTTTCCAGACGCCTCGAACCAGCTGCTCGAAATTGCTCATAAGACCACCACCAGCACCTAACAAGAGATAGAAGAGAGATACAGATGAACACATACGCATCCAGGAAGCACCTAACACCCATTTTAGGTTTGGAGGAAAAGTCTGTACTGTTCGTTCCATTTTTAAATAGCACCATTAACTGAATTAGACCTGCCTAAGTGAAACGCTATTAGGCTCATTAACCACATTAAGCTCATTCTGTACTTTATAAATGATGTGGCACAATGTCCAGCTGCCACTCTGCCTTTTCCAAAACACACTCAGATCCTTTAGGGGGAGATTATCTGAAGTATCACACAAACAAAGCATTATAGTTGCTGTTATTAGCAAAGCGTAGCTAAATAGGTAGAAAATGTTCCACTGAAATGACCCAATGCAACAGACTGTTTTCCATAACAACCGCTAAGACTGCTTTAACAGTTCATATGAAACCTCGTCAGCATCGTCATCATGAAGCCCCTTTCGTCAATGCATTTAGCATGGAGCGAGACCGAGTTTAAAGAAAATGTTTAGTAAGAAATGGATTTCATTAGGGCTGTCAGAGTTAATGTGGTAATGTGTTAACACGATAAATTATAAAACCTTTTTTAAACTCATTTTCCTATCAAACTATTCATAGTAGTTCAGGCTGAAGCCCAGCTATTGGACATTGCTCAGATGGAATCCGTGGTTGTAGTGCTTTCGTTCAAATGCAGCTTTTAAAGCGAAACCTTCAGCAAACCTTGACAGAGACCTATGGAGAAATCAACAATCAGCAAAGTAACAAAAGTAACAGCAAACTGGAGCTCCGGTTCCCCTCCAGATCCTCCACTAAAACAAGAACCGACGAGCTGTATGAATGAGAGCGAGAAGCTACAATCATAGAGGAGCTGAACCACTGACTGTATATGTGGTATAGCTGCTGTCGGAACAAAACCTCATATCTCAAAAAAACTTTACAGGAGAAGGAAAAAACAGACTTTACTTTTAATGTAAGTCAATGGAACCAGACGTTCTTCAAAGTAATTTTGAGCAGTTTGTTTTGGTTCATTCATCATGAAATTTACATACAATGTAAAGGGCAACAGGTATTTTCAAAATATGTACAAAACTGAAAAATGACAAAAATGGAGATACGCGGTTTTGTTTCAACAGCAACAATATATATGATATATACACTCACTGGTCACTGGTGGACGTCAATTGGAAATTGTGTTCGCTCTGTGGTCACGTGATGTTCACGTTCAGGTTTGTTTATGTTAATTATGGAAATATAATTACAGAAAATACATTCTGATGAAGCTTATTTTGTCCACTCAAACAGCTATAATGGAATGCAGTCCTTTTAATTGGTCTTTAATGTCAAATTCAGGCAAATAAGTGTGATTAATCACAAATACCTACATAAGAATTGTGATTAACTGTGATTAACAGCGCTAAAACATACACATTTCACTCCTTCTTATAAATAAAGCTGATCAGTCAAGACATTTGATGTCCAAAATCTGTCTATCTATAAAATGGATTAAAAATATACGCTGCATATTTAAAAACAGCAGCCATTTCGAATCCTGAACAACTCCACACAGTTTGGACTGGTTAATTGACTAAATCTGGGGTAAACAGACAACTGCATACATTTTTCACTAAACTATTCCTTTGACTGAAAACATAGGCAACCTATTCATCAACATAATCGTCATCACACTGCTGCTTCTGATCAATAGTGTCAACACAGAGCAAGGCTGAGTTTAAAGAAAGCAGCTGGCAGTAAACAGCAGTAATCACTCTTACACAACAGCAAACTCTGTCGAAGTGCTTTGTTATCTCAGGTTGGAATTCTCAAAGGTGTTCTTTGTAATTCTGTGCTTCTAATCAAAACAGAGATTTCTATGTTTGTGTTACACACGTTTCTGTTTGCGATTTGAAGGGCATACAGGGGCATTTGTGGATGTTTTTTTTCTCGCAGCAAGGTTGTATTGTAGTATTACAGTGTTTGTATAATTCAGATTCAGTTGTAAGTACACTAAGTTACCCTAAGTAAGATGCAAAGGGCAGCTGGTGTCTTTAAATTATGACAAAAACTGGAAAAATGCAGCAGACTCAGATTTCAGGACATATATATAAAATCTACTGTAGCCGTGCATTTTTGCTCTTGGGCTCCCCCTACAGTTGCAGAGTGTATTTCACTTTTACACTACTGATGTAAATATAAATCGCGTTGTGAGCGCCCCCTCATGGACACATGCCTTTGTTGAGAAGCTGAAGGACAGAGAATCTGACTCCCTGTTGCATACACATGGACATATGAATGCTTCGGATTTACACTCCCGATTTCAATGTTTCTATGTATAAACAACAGAAATCGCGGTGTAATCTGTAGCGTCTCTACGCCTGGGTGACTCACTTGTGCGCAAAGGGGAGTTGGATTCTGCCAGGGAGTCAGAATTCAGCACAACACTGGCAAAGGCAACATCAGAAGACAAAGAACCATGTCGACTTACAAGGTAGAGGAACATTACTGGATTTTATACCAGGAGGCTGCAAACTTTCAAGGCGTATTTGTTGTGAGATTAACAGACTGACCAAAGTTTCTGGCATGAGATGATATTACTTCTTTGCATGCTAGCCTGAAACAGGATTTAGGTTAGACGACTTTTGGCATCAGGAAAAACTACAAAACTCTGTGAGACAGGGACGACACAGATAAGGTTACCGTCTACATCGTAGTCTTTCGTAAATAACAGGGATGAACGCTCTGCTGTCAGAGTTTGGTTGTTTTCCCATTAGCCGTAAGACTGTCCGGCATCCTTTTATCTCTTTTAGCTCTCCAACAAGTAAAAGCCAGTCAGAGATTTACTCTTGTCTGGCCTCTTGCTCGGTCACTCTCTCTTTTCTCTTCGTCGCTTCCTCCAACAGTGTCTTCTTCGGTCTCTTCACAGACTCTGCCTTGATGTCCATGCTGGGAATACCAAGCTGCTTCTTCTAATAGCTAGCTGAGCTGTTGATGTGACGTGGTGCCGTAAAGCGTTACGCAGTTCTGGCAAGAGGTTCTATTGCCGCTCCTCCAAAGTTACATAACGCTATAGCAGGTGTTCTGGCCAGGAATGGCAACAGCAGAGACGCCATTCTCACTGCTATAAGTCAGTGTAGCATCAAAATGATTTTGAAGCTGTTATTTTAAGATAAAATTGTTACATTATGCATTTTGCTAAGTGAGCATTCCAGATTTAAATCTCACTGTGTGGAACTGGTGGATTCGTTTGTCCATCTACATATTATGCGAAACTGACCAACTCAGAAAATCACTAAAGACTGACCATCACAACAAAACCCTTCATTCTTCATTCAGTCCACATCGGAGACACATGTGAAATGGTGTACAGAGGGTTTACCTTAGTTAGACACTTTTTCCTTTAATTTGTCTCCCATCTGTATCCGTATTATACTTTTTGTAAAATTGTATGATTCAGGTTCAGGCTGTGATGCTATTGCTGTAAAGTACTGAAGTAGTGTACAGTGGTATTGTGTTGTGCTATTGTCATCCAGTTGTAAAAGGCCAGTTGTTGGATTGCTGTGCGTTTGTGGCTGTTTGTCATTCAGAGCTCACGTCTGCACATGTAATGACGGTCACCTCAACCTTCTGATATTTCAAACCTTTTTTCATCTGTAATTGAGGGACAGAAAGGTGAATTGCTTAATGATTTTAATAAAGGGTGTTAGGGAGAATCTGGAAAAAAGTTAGAAAGAAATAGAAAATGCTCAATGATAATGTTTCACGCTCAGGATAATCACAGGCAAGTGCAATAGCTTGAGAAACAGATTTAATGGTAAGGTACAAGTGTCATCAGATATTGTAATCAGCGTGCAATCACAAGTATTACTGGAGAGTTTGAGTGGCAGAATACATGTTTCTGTGTGTGTATTTTTCCTCCATTCTCCAAATACAAACACAAAATCTTCTCCCTGTAAATGCAACAGTGTGCAGAAAGTTTGACATGACTGAGTTTTCCAAAATTTGATTTGATTTTGATTTGATTTCGGAAAATCAAAAAGAAATTTTGGCGCTGAAGAAGGCTTTGTTAAACGAGGTGGCAATTAGGACCAATCATGGTCAGAGTGACATCTTGGGACGAAAAAGGCAGTGATTTGGACCAATTGCGCTCAGGGAGAGGTTTCAGAAAAAAACAACATGGTCATTAGGACCAATAACAGTCAGGGGGAGGTCTCAGAACGAACGAGGTGGTGATTAGGACCAATCATGGTCAGTGGGAGGTCTCGAAACAAACAATGCAGAGATTAGGACCAATCGCAGTCAGAGGGAGGTCTCAGAATGAACGAGACGGTGATTAGGGCCAATTGCGGAAGGGGGGAGGAGGTCTCGAAATAAACGAGGCAGCAATTAGGACCAATTGTGGTCAGGGGGAGGTCTCAGAATGAACGAGGTGGTGATTAGGACCAATCACGGTCAGTGGGAGGCCTCGAAACAAACAATGCAGTGATTAGGACCAATCGCAGTCAGAGCGAGGTCTCGGAATGAACGAAGTGGTGATTAGGACCAATCGCGGTCGGGGGGAGGTCTCGAAACAAACGAGGCAGCAATTAGGACCAACTGTGGTCAGGGGGAGGTCTCAGAACAAACGAGGCAGCGATTAGGTCCAATCGCAGTCAGAGGGAGGTCTCAGAACAAACAAGGTGGTGATTCGGACCAATCACAGGCAATAAGACAGTCATTAGTTCAGTACCTTTAGCCCAGCCCACCGCGATCATGACAAACAGCCCATCTTTGTATTTCTTGCTGGCCTGGACGACGCCGCTCAGGACCTTCCAGGTGCGCGTCACTTCCTTCATCCCCGTCAGGACCAACCGCACCGGCAGAAACGCGGCACATGAGTACACGGCATCCAGCGGACAGTAGAACACCAGATACCTGCAGAGAGAAAGAGAGCAGATGAATATACTAAAAGGGCAATATATGTAAATGTACAGTGAATTCAGGCTGTTTTTGCAGCTTCCTAATGGACTGGGGTGCAAACAGTGTCTTTTCAAACTTAAGCAGTTTGTCTACTTTGTCTACATACTAGATCAGTGGTGTCAAATTCAACTAGTTAAGGGCCATATTAAAAAATCTCATCAAATCTGTGGGCCAGAGAAAAAAATGTTATTTTTAATTAATGTTGCTCTATAACCCGAACTGGCCTTAGTTTATTCACAATGTGCAAAACTTCAACAGTAAAATACAGACTTGTAGTAGACCTTGAAATATTACACGGACACTTGAAATATTCAAAATGTAAACATCTCCAGGTGAACTAGACACCTGACATCCTTTCTTTACTGCAAGTTCATTAAGAATTGAGCTCAGGTTCTGAGCTGCTGAGCTGACGTTAAGTGTTTTATATTGGTTGAACTGCAGCTGAAATGCATTTTGGTGATATGACTGGTGTGGAATTGCGCACAATTGTGTAGAATTGAGGTGTAACCGCTGTCTGCTGGGGACTGTAGTGTAGCACGCTGTGAAACTACTTTTGCGGGCTGGATCTGGTTGCATGGCAGGCCTAATCTGGTCTGCAGGCCTTGTGTTTGACACATGGGTACTAGAAAATTTCCATCATATGGGCCCATTAAAATATTGGAGCCAGACTTAATTAGAAACTACTTTATTATTATTATTAACAGGTGTAATAATTAGGGCTGCATTGGTAGTAATACAGGTAGCTACTTTGTCTGTCTGGCTTTAGAGGCAACGCATTTTACTTTATGAGACAACATAAATTTTGTCCTCTGTGGAGATTTTTAAGATATTCAAAAAATGTTTTAACTTTCTTTCTTCCCAAAAGACTTTCTGCTTTTTATTTGTTTATTTACTTTACAAACACTAACCATGGCCATACAATTTTAACATTTTTTTTATTTTAAGATCCCCATTACCTTACACATAATTAAAATATTATTATTATTATTACTATTATTATTATTATTATTATTAGTTGCCTGCACTAATCATTAAAGCTGGAGTCGGTGATTTTGTAGAAACCAGGAAGTGTAACTTTTTGAAAAAAATCCCACCACTGCTTTTAGCCCTCCTTTCAAAGCCACACCCCCAAAACACTTGAATGCACAAAGCCAATACAGACTAACGTTAGATGAATAACATCAAATGACACACATAAATACACACAAGATAAACACAGGTAGTTAGCGTACACCTATAGCTAACCTAACATTAGCGTTGGGCTAATACATAATGTAGCATCATAAGTAGCTAGCTTTGTTCGCTACATAATTCAGGAAAATAAGAAATTCCCCATAAACAAAACAAATCAGATAATTCCTTGTCCAACAGAAAAACAGCAACCTTAACATCACTTTCCAGCCCTTCAGCTCCCTCAGGTTTCTCCACCACTGGAAAGCCGCACCGATGGTCACTCTGGGTGTTTACAAAGCTGTGGCCTCCACAGATAGATTTTTTTCTTCTTTTTATAGTCAGAGCATTTGATTTATTGATAGGTCAAGCATTTGAAGATAACTACTGTCACCATCTACTTATGGTAATTTGTCCAGATCTGTAAGCAAACATATCTGATGTAAGTGGAGCTTGCCGAGTTTCAGCCGAACACACCTGCCCTAAAGGGGCCTCCGCTGATACATGATGTATAAATAATTATGCAATGTAAATTGAATTTATAGCCAAACTGCCAATAATGACTCTCCTTCTTAAAGTAAAATTGCATCATGATTACAGGTTGTGGAGGATAAGTGGAGCGAAGCCACACATTTCTGAATCAGCCGCGGATGGGGACGAAATGGAAACCTTTCTGCTCAGATTCCTCTAGTCGGAGCACATGATCACTGCAGGAGCACATTCCAAATCATCTGTAATAACACACACACACACACACACACGCTGGAGCACAGCTAATTGCTTAATTGGCCATCTCCGTCTCTCAGAGCAGTGAAACTGGTCATTTAATTGTCCATTAGCATAATTTGCAACGCTAGCTATTAATTATCGGAGGCACTCATGCAAGTGTTGGTGACACGGGGACAAAACAGCAGAATATTTCTTGTTTTTGTGACTGCAGAGTGAGCCTCAGGGTGCCTGGTGACTTTACTGAAGGAGAAAAAAGTCATTTAAATCTGTTCTCAGAATGGGTCTCTTTTTTATCTAAATGAAAAAAGTTCTGATCTTCAAATGCAAATGACAAGGATGTCTGTAAGGTCAAGAGCATGTTTACTTGCCATTAAATGCCTAAATGGAGGGGAAATACTCAGTTCTGCACACGCAGTTCTGTCTATGGGTCAAATAAATGCATTAGTAATTCAAAAATATAAAAATCGGTTCATGATATTTCACATAAACGAGGCCAGACACGTTATGCTCTCATAAATATGGAGCTGATGCTTTAGAATCAGTCCTGGTTAGAAGCTGTACTGCTGTCTCCAACCACTAGAGGGCAGCATTGAATTGCACTACACAGCACAGGCACAAATGTGACTGAAAATTCATGGAGAACTTTGGAGCTCTGGCCTGGACTCTAGCGTTTTGCACTAGGCTCTGTGGAGAAAACGGCACATCCAGAAGACTTTTTTTAGTCTTATTTTGTTTCTAAAAACTCCACAGAGCTTCCTAAGACCTACCGCACAATACACGACCCTCACTAAGAGTGTAGTCACAAACTCTCTACTTACAGCTAAGCTAATTAGCACCAAAAGTGGCATCACACACTCGCCTCACTGTGTGTGGAGTGGTTCAGTATCTCTAAAAGACTTGATTATGTGGTTTCTGACACTGTATGACTCACTGTTATCTATAAACATACAGTAGCATATGTTAGTCCACTCACTGTCCACTCTATTAGACACTCCTACCTTGCCGGTCCACCTTGTAGATGTAAAGTCAGAGACGATAGCCCATCTGCTGCTGCACAGTTTGTGTTGGTCATCCTCTAGTCCTTCATCAGTGGTCACAGGACGCTGCCCACAGGACGCTGTTGGCTGGATAGTTTTGGTTGGTGGGCTATTCTCAGTCCAGCAGTGACACTGAGGTGTTTAAAAACTCCAGCAGCACTGCTGTGTCTGATCCACTCAGACCAGCACAACACACACTAACACACCACCACATCAGTGCTGAGAATGATCCACCACCCAAATAGTACCTGCTCTGTGGGGGTCCTGTGGGGGTCCTGACCACTGAAGAACAGGGTAAAAGTGGGCTAACAAAGTATCAGAGAAACAGATGGACTACAGTCTGTAACTGTAGAACTACAGAGTGAAACTATATGGTCAGTGGAGCTGATTAGATGGACAAGAAGGTGGTTTTAATGAAGTGGTCGGTCAGTGCGTGCACGTCTGCTGTCCAGAGTTGGGTGGTGTTCAACTTGCATGCACTTGTATTTTGCTTTTGCTGATGATCTTCAGTTCATAGTACTGTCGCTTCAAGTGTATTAGTGAGTGAAGTCATCTACTTTCCCTCAGTCATCTTTGGTCATCTTCGGTCAGCTCCTGGACTGCTTTACTGTTGCTTACACCTCGCTTTGTAGCTTCAGCATTGTATTTCAGATCAAAATGAGAAGACTTTTACGATAAAAGTGCACTGAAATGAATTAAATGTATATCATCGTTTATGTTAGCCTCTCCGCTCAGAGTATTACCCACCACATCAGCGAGGCGAGCAGGATGTTGGTGCTGTTGGCCAGCGGGGCGACCGGGGCCTCCGACATGATGATGCCGGAGAGCACAGCTCCTCCAAAGCAGTACAGCATGGAGCTGAACCAGCATGCGAACGGGCTCCTCCGAGACACCTCCAACGCTCCTGCAACAACACCAACATCAGTATTAGATTATTAGTAACAGTTCCACTAATACAGCTGCATAAACTGTCCAATCATTCAGGATATTAAAAAGAGTGCATCAAAAGTTCATCTCCATGACTCTTCTAATTGAATTAAAAAGTATTTATTATAATGTCATAATAAAATAGGGCCAGAACGATATGAAAATTTTGAAGTTAATGCTGATTTTAAGAGGCCAAAAAGTCTGATAACTGATATCAGCTTATAACTTTTACATTAATATTGGATTCAGATTTTAATTTAATACACCACTAGGTTTAGTTAACCAGCACTTGAATTTATAATTAATTATATAATAAACTCAAGAGGGAGTGTGTCATCACAAATAACGTCAGGGCTGTGACTGGGTCCTAAGCACAAGCCAAAGGCGAGTAATAATGTCCAGAAACACTGCCGACTTCTCTGGGCTCGAGCTCATCTGAAATGGACTGATGCTCAGTGGAAACGTGTATTGTGGTCTGAAGAGTCCACCTTTCAACCAACCAGATGGTTACCAGCGTAAAGTTCTAAATCCAGCATCTGTCATGGTGTGTGTGTGGTGGGGGGGGGTGGGGGTATCAGTGGGTAACCTGCACATCTGTAAAAGCTCCATTAGCACTGAACACATTTTGGAGCAACATATGCTGCCTTTTAGACGCTGTCTTTTTCAGGGACGTCCATGATTATTTCAACATGACACATCAAGAAACATTCTGCACATAATCAGAGAGTGCACGTGCTAGACTGACCTGCCTGCAGTCCAGAACTGTCTCGCACTGAAAACGTCTTATTAAGTTAATTTTTTTGTTCTGTTTGTCCAGTTTATTCTGTGTTACTGTTATAGTTAAATAGAGGGTAATAATTGAAGGCCTAAAGTTCGTCAGTAGGTCATGAGTTTGAATCCTGCAACCAAAAATGTTTCTAATTATCAGCAATATTTTCACTGCTGTCACTAAAACCATGGGTCATCAATATCAGCCGATATAATCGGCCAACCAGTGCATTTAGGCTTTTATAATAAAGACTTTCTAATTCGATGAGAAGTTCCATGGACATCATATGCACTTAAGTCATGGCTGTGACAGAAATTGTTACACAAAACACTTTTTATTTGCGCATCTTGATGATGCAATTTCCTGTTTATCATATGGCTTAATAATAGGTGGGATGGAAATGCACAGTATTGGTTGAATACAGACAGTGACAACCACAGGAATGGATGTGTGTGGGTGTTTGTGAGAGAGAAAGAAAGAGAGAGATCGTTATTAAATACAGTGTATAATCATCTAAAAGCCTTTTCAAAGTGATTTTCCGTCCCATAGTGAATCAGTGATGTCAGGAAAGAGAGAATCAGTCATCAGTGAGTAAAACCAGCTTATCTCTCTTACACAACAACACAAAACACTGCACAAACAAACAGTCACAGACAGTCTTTCACCTTTTAGACCACTCAGCATCAGATCCCTCCTGTTCCATCACAGTCATGGGACCATTTACAGATGATCAAAGGAAGTGATAACAGATCAACAACATTACCAACATAACAGAGCTGATCTCTGCTAATGAAGTCATTCTGCAGTCTGAGTCATGATCATATTTTCTCTAAACGAGAAAATAAATGGCGCTTTCAAAATATGATGCTGCCAAGGCATGTGGTACACACTTATGCTGTACTACGCTGTGCAAACCTCACCCTCACATCCTGACCCCACTGATGCTGCTGCCGCTGCTGCATGAACTAAACTAATCAAATTAATCACTGCTCCACCTGTTTTCCCTGTTTTTGTACTAACAATGTTTCCTATCCGGTGTCGACCAGAGGAGGATGGGTTCCCCTTCTGAATCCTGGTTCCTCTCAAGGTTTCTTCCTGTTTCTCTTAGGGAATTTTTCCTTGCCACTGTCGCCACTGGCGACGCTCATGGGGGCTCAGACCCGGATTTCTTTCTGTAATGCTGATTTCCTTGTAAAGCTGCTTTGTGACAACACCTGTTGTAAAAAGCGCTATATAAATAAACTTTACTTACTTACTTACTTACTTACTTAAAAAGGGTGGTTCTTAAAGGCAGTGGTTCTATTTAGGAACATGAGTTCTACAAAGAACCATTTCATGCTTTAATGGCTCTTTGCACGGGGACATAGCTCTTCAGATTGACGTTGTATGTGTTGTATATGGTTCTATATAGCACTAAAAAGGGTTTCGTTATTGTTATGATGTAAAGTTGGTAACAAAAGAAGGATTTTTTTTGGTGCTATAGAGAAGATTTTCAAAAAGCTTCTATATGCAGCAGATTTTCATCAATTTGAAGAACGATTTCACCAAGCATGAAGTGGTATATAGAATATATAGAAGTCATGGCTTTAACAAAGAGCCCATGAAGATTTATTGTTTTGAAGTGTGTACCAAACCTTATATATATATCCAAAATGGTAACTTTACAGGAGAAGGAAATAACCTACTTTGCTTTTAATGTAAGTCAATGGAACCAGAGTTTTTTCCAAGTCATTTTGCATCATTTCCTTAGTCCATTCATCATGAAATTTACATACAATGTAAAGGGCAACACATATTTTCAAATTATGTCAAAAACTGAAAAACGCTCAAAAATGAAGATATGAGGTTTTCCTCCGACAACAGCGATTTATATATATATCTATATTTACATATAAGCAGTTACTTCAGACAACACTAGGGCTGGTTTTCACTACAATCTTAATGAAAAAATGGCCCTGGCCATGACGGTCACTGTCACATGTGATTCTAGATCAGCGCTGCTACTTCTGAGGCGGTTTGTGAACACAGACCTTGTTTTAAAGCTCACATTAAATCAAGTTGTATGCTCAACTACATCTACAAGTCTGCATGAACTTAATGAAGACCTTTTGAAGGAGTTTTGGTGATGTATTTTTACAGAAATGATTTGGGCTATTTGGGTGACCATTGAGTTCTACTGTTAGCAATGTTAGCCTCGCCGCTCCAGTTCTAAACTAAAGACCCAAACATCTCGTCTCGGCCAATTAAACACATTCGGGGTGAGTGGAAAATTGTGTAACTTAGATTTCTGCCACATAACTATTCCTTTAAAATCAGTTATTTTGACCTTAACAGGCACAGACGAATCTTTATTCTTCTGAGGGACATTACCACAGATATATATATCTAGATGCCGCGTTGTCTGTTGTTCTCTATCTGAGGCGATGCGTCTGCGCGTCCGCCATGTTGGAGAGGTCAAGATCCGCTTGTGAACAGATTCACTTGTACTCAGAGACGAAGAGTCTCAGGATTAAATCAGCCACAACTTCCTTATTACTCAACCGATTTTCACCACATCTGTTTAGTTATAATCCTCAGACTCAGATTAATCCAGGCTGCTCGGATCTGCTCTCGGTAGCTTTTATTACTTTAATAACTGATCGTGATAATTAGCCGTCCGGACCAGCAGGAAAGTATTCAGTCTGCACCTGACGTTAAAAACCGAGTTTAACGTGAGAAACACAATCAGACACATCAGCAAATCCATCAATGTGTGAATCACTTCTAATCTTCATACACAGAAAAATTAAATAAACCCCCAAAACACAGTAAGAAGGATGATCTTGGCTTCCTATTTACCAGCTTCTTGTTGAGGTTTCCTGTTCCATCTTAAATGGTGTTTCTGGTGCCTGAAGCTGCACCATTTAAGGTGGAACAGGAAAATTCAAACAATAAGCTGGCTGATGCACCATTTAAGGTGGAATGGGAAAATTCAAACAAGATGCTGGCTGATGCACCATTTAAGGTGGAACGGGAAAATTCAAACAAGATGCTGGCTGATGCACCATTTAAGGTGGAACGGGAAAATTCAAACAAGAAGCTGGCTGATGCACCATTTAAGGTGGAACGGGAAAATAACAAGCTAATAACAAGCTAACAAACAGGTTCGTGTGAGAAGGTGCTAAAAGTTAATCTATTGTGAATCTCCACACGGATTAAGGAATGCTGTAACTTACCGAGCTACAAAGCTTTAACCATCACTATAAATAAATAACTAAGTTAAGATCCCTGAATAGACTATTAAATGAAATAAGCTTAATATAAAACCAGTGGAAAAACAATCACATCAACAGGTTCTCTGTGCCTCATTAACCACACGGTCATATCTACACAAACACCACACAGACATGAGTGTGGATCACTGTGTTCCCTCCGTTATATAATCCTATCCCACTTTCTGAGTGTGATATTCCTGAAATAGTGTAATTCTGGACAGTATCTTTATTAAACTGCCGCTCTGTAATGGTACTGAATGCAGTCCAGCAGCGATGTTGACCACCCTACAATGGCGGCGCCGTTGATGTGCCTGGCTGGACACAACACGGCATCTAGGAGTGTATATCTATGGACAGTACAGGCAGAGTTTTAGCAATACTGCTCTGTCGGCATTTGTACGGAACAGACTGAGTTCACGCTGCAGCTCTGCTGGTCATATTCAATCCTCCTCATCACTCTTTAACCCAGTAGCTCATACAGCTCCCTGCAGAAAAGCTGAACTCAGGATTTCAGGTTAGAGGTCACATGGAACAGTTAGCATGACTAGTTAGCATGACGAGCAGCTAGCATTGCTTCATTGTTTTGGCTGTAAGAATGACCTGTGATGTGCTACTTAGCCTATGTAGTTAGTGTTAGCCTAATCTTATTAATCATGATATCACCTTTAATGCAAGGAATATAGAAAATGAATAAACTATCCATGTAGAAAACAGAGCTGTCTACATTTACAGACGTTCAAACGGTGGTCAAATTAATGTTAGCTGGTTAGCAAATATTTTTTAATACTGTGCTGTAGCATTTTTTATCATTTGAAAGAGAAAAGAAAATGAATGAACTACTCAAGAAGATTACAATTCGAAGCTAACAAAGCTAAACAAGCACTGGTACATATTATTAGCTGGCTAGCTAACTAGCTAGTCATGCTAACTGGTATAGCACATATTCTTAATATT